TTAATTGTGTAGTGTAGCAGGCTTCTTTTTTCCATGTCTGGCATTTCACATATGCACACAATATGCACGTGAGCATATTTCCACCCCAACTGCTCTTGTTCAGCCCGCTCCTAATCCTGTAGAGCCCCATCTTCTCAACTAGACCCCTCCCACTCTCACGCCTTACCGTTTTGTGGGGGTCTTGCACGTGTAGCCACAGACGCTGTTGTTTACGATAGCATTGGCTATGTCATGTCCAGGAGACAGCGCTTCGTAGGACTCCTCTCCATCCTTCAGCCCCTATGGTCTTGCCGCCCCCTTTTCTATGAGATTCTCTGGGTCTTGAGATGGCAACGTAGATGTCCCATTTAGGACTGATAACTCCACACTCATTTATTCTTAGCATTTTCATCAGCTTCCCTAGCCAAGACATGTAACAGCAACAGTCGGAGGCTATAATATTTAGATGCAGTTTGGCTGTATGTCCAGCTAGCTTAGCGTCAGTAGTAATCTTTTCCTAGAGCCTGTGACTGCCCCATGGATTTTTCCCCTTTAGTTTTACAGTACGATGTATGAACTTCTTCATGTGTCACAGTCCTCAAACCCAATCAGATGGTGTTTGGTTAGCCCCAAAGCAATCGTGCCAGGCTACACCAGCGGGAAGATCTTGCCTGGTACGTTACTGTTGTGGTACGCTGGGTCCACAGTTGGATAGAGCTGTCCGTGTGTTTTCTCTCCCATCAGCCCTTACAGCACCTTCCATCACTGTGAGAGGAGGAGGCTTCCTGCTCTGTTTCAGCCTGATTTACCAGGACGTTACAGATCCAGCATACGCTGCCTTCAGCAATAGGGTCTTACCATATGGTCCTGGCAGCCATTACTTTCAAGTTTATAACTGAGTTGCTTATGGCTTTGTGCCCATGCAGAGCAACTCATTTTAAACGATGATGTGGAGTATTTGAAAACCATCTCTGCGATTAGAATAAAGATCTTTCTTAAGAGAGGATCTCTGATGTCCTTGGAGCAATGCAGGATGGCTTAGCATCCCATGTGTTCGGGAGACAAACACCCATCACATGGTTGGGTGTCTCCGTACTCAGTTTAAGTGAGTGCTGGGACTGTCTCTTGTAATTTCATTAATCTTTCCTGTGGGGCGTGGGGTCATGTTTCCACCCAAGATAGGATCCAGGAATCTGCGTTATTTCCTGGGTATGATACTGTCATTTAAGTGCCAAAGCGTGGCTCTGTGTCATTCTGAATCTCACCCGTACCAAACGCATGATTCTGGGCCCACCTTCCTCCTTTCTCGGTGCTGTGACCTCTGTCCTCTGTCTCAAACAGGCCAGCACTCTCCTTGTTGGTTCATCTGCTTTGACTTCCCTGTGCCATCTGTGTCTTGCAGATCACATGATCAGTGAGTTGTTTTCCAGAAGATTCTAGGAGCCTTGCAAGTCTTGCTCTGCCATGCCCAATTCCTTTGTCACAGTTGAGCCCCCACTTCCATCCATTTCTTCTCCTTTAAGTGACTCACAGTTTCTTTGCCATAAGTTGTCCCCAGAAGGTTGCGCCTACCTCTCTAGAATCATTGATGCCATTAACTCCCACAAGTCAACTCAGTCAAAGTTGGTTTTCTCTGTTCTACAATTATGTACTTTGGTTATTAACATTATAGATGTACACATATAGGCATATACACACGATTTCCATTTTAGATTCACCCCCTGGAGGTAAAAATTGTTTTCTACCTCTCTTTTTCCTCTCTATTGCTGTTTTTATGGATACCCGAAGATGGGAGGGCTGGAGAAGAAAGTTGTTTTCTCAACGTAGGCTCTAGAGACGGCGCCTGATTCCTTGCTTCTTCTGCTAACCCTAAGAGACATAATATGCCATTATGAAATAGAGGTAGGATTAGTGTTGTGGAGGTGTGGTAAAGACTGTCAGTATGATTCTAGTGGTGTATCAGTGTACTTTTCATCCATGCTGAAATCTACTTAATTGGTTAGTTAGTGCTTGCCAGGACCAATTACTTATTTGATTTTATAGCCTCAGTTAAAGATGAACATTCTTTTAGAAATGTATTCTTAAATATTTACTGAGTGCCTAGTGTGTGGGTATGTATGTGTGTGCTGTGTGTGTGTGTGTTCATGTCTATGTATTTGTGTTTGTATGTGTGCCTGTGTATCTGTGTATACACGTGTATGCATGCGTGTCTACATGTGAGTATATATGTGCGGGTGTGCTGGGCAATAATATATGAAGTGGGAACAAAGTAATAACTGAATTCTAGTTTCTGCCATAAAAGACTATTCATTAACCCAGTAGGATAAATGGTCTTGTAAGTTAACCTACCATTGCTGGAATACTGAGTCACCACCTGTGTGACTGAAAATAACAAATTCATTATCTTATTATAGTAGCAGAAATCCAAAGGATATCTCTGTGAACTAAGATCAGGCATCCCAGGGAGCATCCCCTCTGAGACTCTGCGTGGGAGATTGTCCGTTGTCCTCTGGACCGGCCTTTGCAGGCTGCTGTCCTCATGGCCTCCTTACTTATCCTCTAAGCTAGCACCTGGCAGTGAGTCTTTGGATGTCACATCATCCTAACCTTGCTTCCATTTTCCCATTTCCCTTTTTGGCTTTGCCTTCTCTTCCCCCGCTCTGAGGACCCGTGAACCACACTGGCTTCATGAACACACTCCAGAATAACCTTCCCACGCCGTGTTTAATCACATCATCTCCTTCCCCTCAACAAGGAACATCCTCACGGTGTGTGAGATTGAGGATGCGACCGTCTCGAGAATGATGGCATCTGTGTCGTATCGTGCCTTGGGGTGCAACGTGTCCGGTGAATGATGGATAGGTGTTTCAGAGTTGGATGGAAGCGGCTTCTGAGGAGTGGGGCTGAGAGCAGGCTCTCAGCACTGATCCCCAGAAAGTGAGCTCCACACGTCGGCACAGCGGCTGCAGAATGTCTGCTTTCCCTTGTCCTTCTTGAGAAGGAACGAGGATTCTGTGAGGGGAGACAGAGAATTTCCTAACCATTGCTGCTACCCGGATTTCACTCAGCTCTCCTCTGGGTTTTGAGGTCCGCATGATCTCTATCAAATGAGTTCACACAGGGCACGGCACTATGTGGAAGCCATGCAGAGGTTATTACAGAATAACATGAGGCTCTTACGGGAGTGAGAGCAGGGCAGAGTCTGAAGAGACTGTGGTAGAGAAAACACTCTCATGGGTCAGGAGTTGACAACAGCCAGAGGGACTGCTGAACCAATTTATGAGTATGGTGAGGCTTTATACAGTTCCTAAAGTTTCTGGAATAGGCAGCTTCTTGACTTTCCCGCCCTACTAATTGACAGGCCCATTTGGATAGTCTCACACGGGAGGCAACAGTGATGCGTTTGTTCCTTATGAGAAAACCACCAGCTAGGTGGTAATCTTACAATCTTTTAGGCAGTTCAGAATGTCATGTCTCCACCCACGCCAAGGTTTGCTGCGGTTCCCTCCTTATGATCATTAATCAAAATCCTACAGTTTTATTTCTTGGTTTTACTGATTATGATGCTGGGGGAGGGCATCCTTGATGATCTCAAAACATGCTCATATGAGGAGCTACCCTCATGAACAAAGGAACAAGAAGGCAAAAAAAAAAAGTCACACCAGTCAGAGTGACTGGGCCTGCAGAACATCTTACTATGGAGAGAGCCACAAGCCACACAGAATTCCTAGAGGGTCAAGTTTAACGTGGGGGTACTGAGAGGAAAATGTCTTGAGATAGTGGGCTGAGCAAGGGAACATCCCACTGTAAGAAACAGTAGCAAAACATGGTTCCCTCTTCATTGATGCAGGGGTGGGCCCTCCCCTTGGGTGAAGTGGTAGGGCCCTCTTTGTAGACAAAGCACAATGAACCTTTCCGAAACAGGACGAGAACTTGGAGTGTTCACAGCTCCCTGCTAGCTCTCCGTGAGAGTTAGATCTTGATTTCATCTTTCTCCATTTCCCCATTCTTCTGGGAAGACTGGCTGACTTTCCCATCCCTAAAATACTGGTTAACCTGATGAGGCTCTCCACAGAAAACTATTCCTGAAGCAATCAAATTAATTCTTCTTTAGATTTTTTCATTTAAAACATTTTTCATTAATCAATTTAGCTATTTATTTTGTCTGAGGTTAGACACACACATGTGAAGGTCAGGGGACAGCCTCTGAGAGTAAGTTCTCTCCTCCAACTTGTGGGTCCTAGGGAATAGAACTGAGGTCACCAGGTTCAGAGGTAGGTGCCTCTGCCCACTGACCCATCCTGTCAGCCCCCAGAGTTTTAATTTTTATGATGTTCAGTAGAGATCATATTGTTTATTTTCACTGTGAAATGTATTTCATTTAAAAGAGAAAGTCTTTCTGAATATGCCCCCTAACAGGTCATACCATTTGCTTTCAGTGCAATGGTGTGAAATCTGCACACAAGAATTGAATTAACAGACGTGCCTCATTTTCCTTAATCTTCATGAATTATTTATACCAAAGAAGTTGCTTTGTATGAAGGCAGGACACCCACTCTGTTAAGTACAGTAACAACTGTTTTTGCTTTTTAAAATAGAAAGTGTTAGTAATTCTATTGCCGTAATAATTATACAATCAAAGAATCGAAAGCTTACGAAATTTGAACTAGTTTTAGTGGTTGTTTTTTAAATTTCACTTTAAGTAGGGAATGTGGATTGAATTCACCCAGCTAAGCTGCCTGACAGCGGAGCTCTGAGGCTATTCATCTGCTCTCTGTGACCGTTTATTCCCGAGATGTGATCAGAAAATAAAAAACATTTGCATTACAATACGAATTCTGCTAGCATGCAGCTTGGGATGAAGACTTTGTGTGCCAGTTGCCAGGGCTGTATGGGATCAGCTAAATCTTACCCTTTGACGGAGACCACAGAGTATTTTGAGCTCAAATATGAGGCAGCTGGGACTTAACAATCGGAAGAAATTGGCTTCTTATGCAGACTTGACAACGAATGACCTTTCAGCCTGTGTCCCACTTGACAGGGTACCTACCACACACAACAGGCCGAAAGGGAACCCACATACTTTAAAACCAGTTTCAGCCACCTTTAATGCAAGAAGCAGGCAATTGCCGGATCAACACTGGCATGTAGCTTCTTTCAAGCCGACCTTTCACCTCCGCCCATCTACGGAAGATTCCAGTGGTTCACAGCTAACTGGTCTACCTTCCCATCTTCTTTTACTGTTGATACCTGAGCAAATGAGGTAGAACAGATCAGCTTGCCATTCTGTGCCTCAGTGTTCCCACCTATAAAGTGGCATGATGACAGAGTGATACTTCACAGAGCCATTGGAAGCAGTAAACAGGAAAGGGCTGCTGGTGGTACAGCTCGAGGGAATGCAGTTTCACACTGTGTTCTATCTGGGACACTATGGAATGGGAGACTGGAGTATAAAGCACTTAGAGGCCATGATAGAAAATGAACACTGTGGTGGTTTGAAAGAAAATGACCTCCCCTCCCCCCAAAGGGAGTGGTGCTACTAGGAGATGTGACTTTGTTGGAATAGGTGTCGTCTTGTTGGAGGAGGTGTGTCACTGTGGTGGTGGTGGGGGGACTTTGAGGTCTCCTTTGTTCAAGCTATGCTCAGAGGGACTCCGCTCACTTTCTGTAGGCTGTGGGTCAAGAAGTGGAACCCTCCGTTCCTTCTCCAGCACCATGTCTGTCTACATGTCACCCACCATGATGATGATGGGCCAAACCTCTGAAGTGTAAGTTAGCCCCAAGGAAGTGTTTTCTTTTGTGGAAGTTGCCTTGTTCGTGGTGTCTCTTTACAGCAGTAGAAACCTTAACTAAGACACAAAGACTTATTTTTTTTAATGAGAATTTAAGGTCATTACTCTTCCTTGAAATTCTTTGATGTTTCTTGAATGTTGCTTCTCCAATTTGTGCTAGTTATAAGCAAGAAAAGGAGGTATGATTTTAACACTCAGTGGTAGACCACTTGCCTTGGGCCTCAGCATCACACACAGAGATACACACACACACACACACACACACACACACACACACACACACGCACACAGGCATGCATTCACACATGTACATATGCACACACAAGTGCTTGCATGCAAACCCTGCCTTGTAGCTGGTGAAATTCAGCTTAGTCCTCAGGAGGGAGCAGACTGTGTAGTTCAGAGATGGCCAGTCTTTCAGCTCTTTGGTTCTGTCTTCATCTCCTTCAGTTCTCTCTGTCCAAAAGACAGATTTGTCTCCCTTGGAAAGTAATGCGCTTACGTACTTGTTTATTTTCACCTTTATTTCTATGTGGTGGTGGGGAGGCATAGGCCATGTTGTGCTTTTAGACCCCAGAGAACAACTGCGAGGAGGTGGTTTTCTCCGTCCAACACGTGATTCCTTGCCGCCAAACTCACGCCATCAGGCTTAGCTGCCATCAACCATCTTCACTCACGGAGTCCTCTTGCTGGCTTCAAAAGCCAGCTTCCTCTAAATCTCTTGTCTTCAAGGTTTCTACTCACCCCATGTCTTCTAATGTTACACTTCTGGGATAGGGGATGTGACCAGCTCAGTTCATCCCCGTGTTTAAACCACGCCCAGCTGCCACATCCTGGGAACAGGTGGAAGGAAGAAGCCGGGCCAGAGACCCCTTCCTGTGCACTGGGACACAGGAGCTCCGTTTCCAGATAAAGGAGGATGAGAAGATATTATTGCCATAGTAACAGTGCTACCCACCTGAAAGATCTCTTTAGAGTCTCCCTCTCTCTCTTCTTGACACAACTTTTATGACTTCCAGTTTTCTCAGGACCCGGTTCTCTTTCACGGTTCCAGTTTTTGTTTTCTTTAAAAAAATGTAATAGTACAGTTTACTTAATGTAGTATAAACTTTGAGAGTCATAATTTCAACCTGCAGTAGGTAAAACATTACTTAGATTTTTGAACTGCTATTTGAACATTCAATCTTTATAGCGCGGGAACTGAAACAGTTTTAAAATCTACTCTTTAAAATATTTGCCCGTGTATATGAGGTTATTGTGGTCATAATACCCCTCCCACCCCTCTAACACTTCCTAGACTTCTGCTACATATCCCTCAACATACATGCACACATGCACACACACACACACACACACGCATGCACACACACACATACACACACGCATGCCCACATGCACGCATGGACACATGTACATCCCACTGAATCCCACGAGTGCTGCCTACACATCATACATAGTAGTGGGTTCATCTGCTGGAGCATGAACAGCCTACCAATGGCCACACCCTCAAAGAAAAACAGTTGTCCCCCCCCCCCCAGCAGCCATCAGCTGTCAAGAGCTCCTTAGCCTGGGGTAGAGCCTTGTAAACCCTTCTCCTATCCCTGATGGAATAACTGGCTTGATCTTGTACAGGTTTTCGACAGGCAACCACGGCTGTTGGTGACTTCTGAGCGCAATGTCCCTGTCATGTCCCTGAAAACAGTATTTACGTTCTTCCTGACTCCTTTTCTGGAGTGCTCCCCCATGGACTCCAGTTTTTAACGTTGAACATTCATCCATGTTCCACTTCACCCTCGAGGGAACCAAAACGAAATTTGTATTCCCTGTCCGAGACCCACTTTGTAAGTGACTCTGCTTGCTAATGCTCCTAGGTTAACAGCATCAACTCTTCAGCCTCCTTTAAACCTAGGAAGAGACCAGAGAGGTAAAGCATTATAGGTTCTAGACTGTGATGCTTAGCTTCAATTGTCAACATGATACAGCCTAAATCACCTGGGAAGAGGGTCCCGTGAAGGATTGCCTGGCTGTGGTTGAGCCTGCGGGCATGTGTTTGGGGACTGTCTCAGTTAATGGATGTGAGACTACTGAACCCACTGTGGGTAGCGTCAGTCCCTAGGCAGGTTATCAAAACGCTGTGTAAGTAAAGAGAACGTGAGCTGAGCAGAAAAAGCCAGTGAGAACGTGTGCCCTCATTCCTCTCTGCTCGCAACTGTGGATGAGCTGTTTGGAGGTCCTTGCCTTCAATCCCACAGAATCATGGTTTGCAATTTTAGATTGTGAGCTAAAAATAAACCACTTTTGTCCCTAGGATGCTTTTTTTTTCGGTCAAGATATTTATAATCTAGCATCAGAAATGAAACTAGATCCCAGTGAATCTGGAAATCACTTGCTCTGGGGCCATCTGTGCTACATGTCTTTTTTTAACCTTCCAAACAATAATATTCACTAGGCTATCGTTGTCTTTTACATGCAATTATGGCACCTTTGATAAGCATTCGCGGGGCTCACTACGCGTTGGGAACTGTTCTAACCACTTGACCCGCGTTATTTAACCCTCATACTAAGGTATGGAACAGATGATAGTATTGAAAATACGGAAACAAAGACTTCAAACGCGGCATGATCTGCTCGGGACGAGCACAGCCCCAAGAGTAAGCCCTAAGCTGCATCCCTGCGCTTTGTGAAATTGAATGTCACCTTCTTTCTTCCCTATCACAACTCGGGAGTGACTCACGTCACCTCACCTCTGCTGCTGCAGGAGGTTCCTGGTTCGTCCCCCTGAATTGTGTCCCTCAATGACCTGATGCACGTCACCACGTGATTGCTTTTCTGAGGTGGCTAAGGATGGGTCACAAAGCCTTGTGCATGCCAGGCAGGTGCTCTGCCTCTGAGCTGTGTGTCCTAGAATGCTCATCTTTATTTTTGTGGAATTCGCTCACACAGAACATCCTGACCACAGCCTCCCTTCCCCCACCCTCCCCAGCGCCCCCCCCCCACCCTCTGCCCCAGATCCGCTGCTCCTCTATTTTCTTTCAGAAAGGAGGCAGCTTCCCAGCCATGTCGGCTGGACACAGCATAACGAGATGGGTAAGACTAGGCACAAACCCTCACATCAAGACTGGGAGAGGCGACCCAGTCAGAGGAAATGGATCCCAAAAGCGTGGAAAAAAGTCAGAGACACACCTTCTCCCATGGTTAGGAGTCCCACGAACGCCCTAAGTTAAATATCACAGCAAGTGTGCAGAGGACCTGCTGCAGACCCGTGCGGTCTCTGTGATTGGCGCTTAGTCTCTCTGAGCGCCTATGAGCCCTGCTCGGTTGCTTCTACGGGCCATGTTCTCCAGGTGTCCCTTAACCCCTCTGCCTCCTGTAGTCCTTCCTCCCCTTCTTCCACAGGGTCCCCCAAGTTCTGCCTCGCGGCTGGCTGTGTGGGCCTTTGTATCTGCTCCCATCGGCTGCTGGAGAAAAATCTCTCTGACGTTGACTGACTGGGCTAGGCACAGTCTCTGAGTCTAGCAGAGCATCATCAGGAATCATTTCATTGATTTATTTTGTCAGTCATGTTTAGTTCTACCCTAGGTCTCTGAGCCATCCAGCTTCTAGTTTCTAGCCACCCAGACACTGTCAGGCCTGGGCTCCCTCTCTTGGCTTGGGTCTCGTTAGAGCAGTCATTGGTTTCACCATTGCCCCAGCTCGTCTTGCAAGCAGGACAGGACCGAGTCGAAGGTTTTGAGCCTGGGTTGGTGTCTCAGTCCCTCCACTGGGAGTCTTGTCTGGTTCAGGCCCCGTGTCCTCCATTACTAGGAGTTCTTGCCGGAGTCACCCTCATAGGTTCTCGGAAGTTTCCACTGTGCTAGATTTATACATTTCCCCCTAGACGCCCTCCTAATGAAGTTAGCCGATGCTATACACCCTCCTATTGCTCTCATCTCTCCCTACACTCTGCCCTTCCCCCTCCCACCTGATCCCCCGTGTTCCCATCCCCACCCATCCGCAGTTCACCTACAACAATCTATTTCCCCTTCCCAGGGAAATCCATGCATCACCCCCTCCCCAGCACATAGCCCTTGTTAGCTGGCGTCTCTGGGTCTGTGGATTGTAGCATGGTTATCCCTTACTTAATAGCTAATATCCACTTACAAGTAAGTGCACACCATGTTTGTCTTTCTGGGTCCAGGTTACCTTATTCATCACAATCTTTTTTTTCTAGTACCATCCATTTGCCTTTGAATTTCTTGATGCCATTTTTCCCCTAACATCTGAGTAACCCTCCATTGTATAAATAAATCACATTTTCCTTATCCACTCTTTGGTTGAGGGGCATCTAGGTTGTTTCCAGTTTCTGGCTCTTATGAATACAGCAACTATGAACATACCTGAATAATGTCCTTGTGGTAGGACAGGGCGTCCTTTGGGGATATGCCCAAGAGTAGTAAGCCAGGTTTTGAGGTAGACTGATTTCCATCTTTCTGAGGAACTGCTGTACTGATTTTCAAAGTCACTGTATGAGTCAGCACTCCCACCAGCAGTGGAGGAGTGCTCCCCTTGCTCCACATCCTCTCCACCATGAGCGGTCACTTGTGTTAATTGATCTTAATCATTCTGACAGGGGTTAAGATGGGATCGCAAAGCTGTTTTAATTTGCATTTCCCTGATGGCTAAGGATGTTGAACATTTTTTCCTCAGTGTTTCTCAGCTATTTGAGATTCCTCTGTTGAGAATTCTCTGTTTAGCTTTGTACCCCAGTTTTTAAATGGATTTTTTTTTGGTTTATTGATGTCTAGTTTCTTGAGTTTCCTTTTTATATTTTGGATGTTAGTCCTCTAGCAGATGTGGAGCTGGCAAAAACCATTTCCCATTCTATAGGCTGCCATTTTTTCCTTTGTCTTATAGAAACTTTTCAGTTTCATCCGGCTCCATTTACTGACTGTCATTCTTAATGCCTGAGCTACCAGTGTTCTGTTTAGGAAGTTGTCTCCTGTACCTACGTGTTCAAGGCTATTTCCTACTTTCTCTTGTATCAGGTTCAGTGTGTCTAGTTTAATGTTGAGGTCTTGGATCCACTTGCACTTGAGTTTTGTGCAGGGCGATAGATCTGGATCTATTTACGTTCTTCTACATGCTGGCATCCAGTGAGACCAGCACCATTTGTTGAAGTTGCTGTCCTTTTTTTCTGTTGTGTATTTCTAACATTTTATAAAAATTCAGGTATGCATAGGTGTCTGGGTCTTTGATTTAATTCCATTGATCAACGTTTCTGTTTTTTTATGCTGATAAACCAGGGATGGTGATACCTCCAACAGTTCTTTTATCATTTAGGATTGTCTGAGTACTTTGTTTTCCCATATGAAGTTGAGTATTGTCCTTTCAACTTTTAGCATGATTTCTGTTGTCTCATTACTTTGTTGACATCCTTCTCTGATTCCCTCTGGTCTATAATGTATGAAATAAATTCCAATCCTATTTTATTTTGTCTGTATCCATTCTGGTTCTGCACTGTCTATTCAGCTCCATCCTGTGGCCCTCCATCCTGTGGTCCTCCATCCTGTGATCCTCCTTCCTGTGATCCTCCATCCTGTGGTCCTCCATCCTGTGGTCCTCCATCCTGTGATCCTCCATCCTGTGATCCTCCATCCTGTGATCCTCCATCCTGTGGTCCTCCATCCTGTGATCCTCCATCCTGTGATCCTCCATCCTGTGGTCCATCCTGTGATCCTTCATCCTGTGGCCCTCCATCCTGCTGGGCATCACTCTAGCAACCACGCTTGTCGATCACTCCTGCAAAAATGCTCTTCATCTCTACCTCGGTGACTCCATCCATCACTACAAGTTTTTGTCTTTGCCTATGCGTTTACAAATGTGGCGACTCTGTAAGCCTTCCCTACAGATACTCCCACTGACTATGGCATTTACTTTCCCAGGATCCACAACACTGTCCTTGCATGCATGTCCCTAAAAATCATAGCTTGTCTATGATATATTGCACTTTTCTCCTGACTGTGTTGAAGACGGAGCGTGAGTCATTCACCTGTTCTCCCCCTGTAGGCCTCTGTCCACACAAAGCACACCACAGGCAGTCACCGAGTTGCGGTAAATATGGCAGGATTCTCCTTTCAAAATGTATCTCCTTTTATTTCATCTTACACACACACACACACACACACACACACACACACACACACGTGAGCGTGCTTTGCCTCTTGATGAAATGTGGAGCCCTTGTAACACCTAAGGTTGTCACCACACCTTGGGGTAGGTTTCTGCTCTGGTGAACACCTTAGGTTTGGTAGTTTCTTACCACAGAGTTTGTTTCACACGTTTAGAGACCTCAAAATCTAAAATCGAGGCACTGGCAGGTTCGGTGTCTGGGGGAGGTGGCTCTCTGATTGCAAGATGGTGCTTTTATCTATTTATCTATTTATTTATTTTGGCTGTGTCTTCCCCTAGTGGAGGGTGGCAACATAGAGAATGCGGTCTCCTAACTTGCCAGAAGAGAGAGCTTTGCAAAACTTGCCAGCTTTGCAAAGGCTGAGTCTTGCTTTGCATCTGTGGCCTCGGGCCATTGCTACTGTTCAATCCTATGACTGCCTTGGTGCTTAATCCCATCTCAACAGGGCTCACTAACCCCTCCCCCAGCCTTGAAGGCTTTAATTGTCAACAACAGGGACCAGAGGAAAATGGGACTGCTGGCTTCCTGACCCACTCTTTGGTACTGGCACTTTAAGGGTTACCAGCAGAGCATGAGGAGTGCAAACATCCAGACCCTAGCGTCACAGGAGACTAAGTATTCCATTAACTCCTTGTTCAAGTGTGAGTAGATATGGCCTTGCTGAATGCATCGGTATGCAGACTCTGCTCTTTGAGATGGAGCCTGACCCTGCCTTACGCCCCTCCAGGACCCGCTCAGGTCCTTCTGTGTATGGAGGGTGTTTTATTTACAGGCTGCCTGTTCCCTAGGTCTGCCCCTTTGCTGCTCCGTCCTGAGAGTAGCTGCCTTGGAGGCCTCCAGGTTCTCTGGAGGGGTTTCCACTGTGTGAAAGCGAGGACAAGTTGCTGACACTCGGAAGTCTTCTTCTCCTTTTAAGATCTTGTCTTTGGTTCAGGACCAGTTTTTTTGTGATATGCCCAGATATCCAGAGGAAGAGGTTGGAACACTTGCAGGCAATAGTCCTGGTGGTTGGGGTTTGGCCAGGGACGGTTTTATAGAACAAGGCCATTCCACAGGGATTTCATACAGGCAGAGACAGGAGTGTTGTGTCAGCACCATGGTGCAACAGTGTCTGTTAATAGACCTTTAAAGAAACCTACAATCTGCAGTGGGTAGGACAGAGCTCAATGAGGACTGGCAATTAGACCCCTGGAGTAAAACCCAAATGACGGGTTATTAGAAACAAAGAAGAGGTGGGTAAGTCGCATCTTGAATTTGGATGTAGACACATCACTGACCCTCAGATGTTAGATTGGCCACGTGGCCTTGGAGATCCCCAGTATGGCTCTCCCAGACACATCTCTGACGGAGGTCATTTTTACAGCTTATGGGGAATCTGGCCCTGGTGGTCTTGCTTATAGTTGGAGAGAGGACAAAAGAGCTTGGCAGGTGTGACCGGATCACGCCCGTCGTTTCATTGGACTAAAGAACTTAGCATTGCACGGAGCAGTAGGCCAGCCGAGAACAAGCTCTTTCTTTGATAACATTTTATGTGCCTTCATTTGCCTTCCCGTTGGCTTATGTACTTAAAAGATCTTTGTTTTCAATGCAGGTGATCCAAGGACCTATGACCCAGATTTCCAGGGACCCACTTCGGACAGGTAAGCAGGTCTTTTCTAGTGAATGCATGTTTTTAAGCAAACAACGGAAGTTGATTTCGGGTACATCACTTTGTAGCTCACGGAGATTTTTGTCCCTTGTCAGGAACAAACACCTCACCACTGCCTGAACGTAACCTTGTTTACCTAGGGAAGTACAGTGCGCCAGTCTCCCCTGGAATCATGAACACCGTTCATTCAGCAAATGATCTGCCTTTAGTTATGAGACTGACCGGGAGTTTGTGTTCACCAGAAGAAAAACCCCGAGAAATGGTTTTTGCTGCTTTACCCACCCTGTGGTAACGCAGACTCACTCAGGTGTCTCTCTGTTGTGTCTGTGAACTCCGTGACTCACGGTGGCCAATGCAGAGTTGCCATGCCAACCTCATCCATGCCAGGCATTTGTGCCACTAGCTTCCAGAAACAGGATGCTTCTCAGAGGCCGCCATTCTCCAGGGCGTTATGGGTCTTTATGGGATCATGAGCGTGCTCCAGGGGAATAGCCACGTCTTTGCCGGTGCTCCCCTCCCCCGACGCTGCGTGACATTTCAATCTCAGCCAATAATCCAACCCTCTTATTGTTTATCCTCTCCTCTGTTCTCAGGGTTACAGCTAACCAGAGGCGGGGCCTCGGGGGGCGGGGCTACAGCTACAGGGGAGGTTATGTGCCGAAGCTGTCTCTGCTTGGCTCTGACGTTGATTTTTTGGCAGTGGCTTGTCATAATAATCCACGGTGTGAAATAATGACCGGCACACTCGTTTGTACTTGTTAGTCATCGGGACGGGCGCCAGCCCCCCTTCCTCCCTCCGGTCCCCCAGCTTTAAGCAGCTTATTCTAATTGGGCAAAAATGTCAGGCCTTTTGTTCAGGGTCCTCACGGGCAGGTCCACTCTTAGGATGGGTCTGGAACCTGTGCCACTCTCTGTGGGAACACCTCGAGTACGCTCTGCTGCCCAGGCACAGACAGCCATGCCCAGCACGGCCTTTACGTCTCCTGGGAACTAGTCGGCGAAGACTGAATGTAGCCTGCTGGCCCCAAGGGACCACTAAATATCTCTGAGCTAGCTTGGGGATAATAATTACCGCGAGCCAACTGTCACATTCACACAGAGGAAATGTGGATTTGAAGTGTGGCCTCTTCTAGCCATCGAGAAGGCAGCGGAGGTAGGCCTGGGTGGTGTCGTGGAGATGAATCGCGATCACCCCAGCCTCACCGACCGAGTAAGGACATGCTGGCCGGTGGTGAACAAAGTGTGTGGCGGTGGCCACATCAGACCACAATGGATTGTGTGTCCAGCAGCTGTGTATCAATGCAGTGTCCCCGCCTGTGGCACCACAGAGAGGCCACAATGTCCCCAGCTTTAGCACGTCGCCCTGGTGAGTCACGCTGGGTCACAGCGCCCCACAGTATTCCCCACACCGGAGCACGCTGTGCAGGGCTGTGGCTAAGAAACAGCAGGCGAGGTCGCGCATTCGCATGTGCCACGGCCTACGTGTGTTTATGCCCACACCTATAGCAGTGTATGCCGTCTAGGCTCACGTAACTGTACCAAGAACATTCTCACAGTGCCAAAAGAGCTTAACGACACCTTTCTTAGAAATATCCCCGTTGTTATTAGGCATATGAGTAGCGACCCCCCCCAGAGGTGGCTCGGTGCGTAGGGGTCACTTGCCACAGAGCCTAAAGACGTGAGTTCCATCCCCAGGGCTGGGCAAATAGAAATAGGAATGCAGGGAGGAGAGAAATGATCATACAGGCTGTCCTCTCTCTCTCTCTCTCTCTCTCTCTCTCTCTCTCACACACACACACACACACACAACTAATACCCATGATAATCACTGAATACACATGTTATAATCTGGAGCGACGGGCCTGCCGGGGATGCTGCAGACACCACAAGGGCTTCAGAGGGGCAGTCTTTCTGTGGATTTACCTCACTATCTTTCCTGTAAGGAAGGGAGGGAAGGAGGGAGGGAGGGAGGGGGAGAGAGGAAAGGAGAGAGAGAGGGAGGAAGGAGGGAGGGATGGAGGGAGTCCTGCACAGGGGCAAGCTTCTGGGAGTCTCAGGAGGCACTCTGAAGGCAGCAGACTTTACCTGACCCTTACAGAGGAAGTGATTAGGGAGTTACAGTCCTCACAGGTGAAGCACTTGCCTAGTACAGCTTCAAACAAGCCAGCAAGAAGGCAAGCAAAGCAAGAGCCCCCCTTTGCCCGTTGTCTCTCCCAGCAGAGCGGCTCAGCGACAGCAAGCTGATGTGGTACAGGTCTCCCCAGTGCTCCAGGCAGCCTCCACCGCCCCTTCTGTCTGCCTGCTGGGCACTCCTCTCAGCTCACAAGCACGGCATTGCCTGCCCGGTCACCGGCACTTTGTTTGCTCTTGTCTGCTAAGAACAGAGTGTCTGGGAGCTGATTTGGTCAAATGTATATATTTTTTTAACCCTGTTCCATTTGAAAAAAGTTGGTCTACAGGCCACATAAGTTGTCTTCTATAGTCATCAGTCAGAAAAGATCAGTTAGTGTTGAGCTGATAATGCTAGGCTTTTGTGCGTGCGTGCGTGTGTGTGTGTGTGTGTGTGTGTGTACATGTGTATGTATGTGCGTGTATTTGTGTATATGTGTGTGTTGTGAATGTGTGTATGTGTGTGTATGTGTGTGCATGTGTGTATATGTGTGTGTGCGTGTGTATGTGTATGTATGTGGGTGTATGTGTGTATATGTGTGTGTTGTGAATGTGTGTATGTGTGTACGTGTGTGTGCATGTGTGTATGTGTGTGCATGCATGTATATGTGTGTGTGCGCGTGTGTGAATGTGTGTTTATGTGTGTGTGCGGCATGCATGAGAGAGAGAGAGAGAGAGAGAGAGAGAGAGAGAGAGAGAGAGAGAGAGAGAGAGAATATGCATGGTGGAAAGTAATGCACAGAGCAAACTAGGAAGTAAAAGCCCTGTCATAAAACAACACACCAGGGATTCTGGTTGTGATTCACAGCTGAAAGTCTGCTTTCTGTTACTGCACAAGTAGAGCCTGGTGGCCATTGTTGTTGCTTGTTTGTTTTTGAACTGATGTGTACAAAGTCCACTAATACACTTAGCTGCCAGCAACTATGTGAGCATTTGCGTTATGATGCCTGGGGGTTCAAGCCTATATTCCCAAGCTACACAGAAGGATGAGGTATGAAGATCACATGTTCAAGGTCAGCCTCAGTGACTTAGAGTGACCTAATCTCTAAATGAAAAGTGAAAGGAGGCTTGGGGAATTCAGCTCAGCGGTAAGCATTTGCCTGGCACGTGTGAGTCCCTCCATTGAATCACAAATACCACCAAGAACAAGTAATCAAAAATCCCAAACACCAGCAACGGTGGTTTCTATTCAGGACTTTTTCCCTACTGTTTTAATAATTCAATTGTGTACGGGTGTTTTAAAGTCATTTCATTAGATCCCTGTGTGTTTTTTGGGGGGTCTGGGTACAGCTTATGTGTGGAGAGGAAGATGAAAATGAATCACTTCATTGCTGCATTGCCTGTGCCAGACAAGACAGACAAAGACCTAGATCAGGTCTAGATGAGCACTGACCTAAGTCAGGTCTAGATGAGCACTGACCTAAGTCAGGTCTAGATGAGCACTGACCTAAGTCAGGTCTAGATGAGCACTGACCTAAGTCAGGTCTAGATGAGCACTGACCTAAGTCAGGTCTAGATGAGCACTGACCTAAGTCAGGTCTAGATGAGCACTGACCTAAGTCAGGTCTAGATGAGCACTGACCTAAGTCAGGTCTAGATGAGCACTGACCTAAGTCAGGTCTAGATGAGCACTGACCTAAGTCAGGTCTAGATGAGCACTGACCTAAGTCAGGTCTAGATGAGCACTGACCTAAGTCAGGTCTAGATGAGCACTGACCTAAGTCAGGTCTAGATGAGCACTGACCTAAGTCAGGTCTAGATGAGCACACTGACCTAAGTCAGGTCTAGATGAGCACACTGACCTAAGTCAGGTCTAGATGAGCACACTGACCTAAGTCAGGTCTAGGAGATGAGGACACTGACTCGACTCACATCTAGGAGATGAGGACATTGACTTAAGTCAAGTCTAGGAGATGAGCACACTGACCTAAGTCAGGTCTAGGAGATGAGGACATTGACCTAAGTCAAGTCTAGGAGATGAGGACATTGACTCGACTCACATCTAGGAGATGAGCACACTGACACTTACAAAATTCTGAGAAATTCTAGGTTCTGTTACTAAGAGAACTTCTCAAATTAACCTCATCATAGCGCTGTCCCTATAGTTCATAGACACATCCGGCTTGCATTTTACTTTAATGATGGGTGCGCTTCTTGTCCAAGCAAAAGGGTCTCAAAAACCAAGAGGCAGAGTTCATCTCTGTATAAGGAAAAGGTTACGGTAGGAAAAGGCCACCGTTTCCTGATAAAACAAACCCTGATTATTGTGAGAAAGTGCCAGACAACACGTCACAGACCATTTTGATTTGAAGCATAGTTTAAATAAAGGCATGCATGCATCTATAACATGCCTCTCAACAGGTCCTTTGCAAAGTCACCATGTGCAGGAGATGGAGGAGGTAAAATGAGTAGTTGTCCTGAAGGGCTGGTTACTCAATGCCTTTGTTTGGGTTTCTATTGCTGTAAAGAGACACCATGACCATGGCAACATTTCATTTGCTTGGCTTACGTCTTCAGAGGCTTAGTTCGTTGTCATCATGTGTGACATGGGGTGTGCAGCAGTCATGGTGTTGGACAAGTGCCCTCCAATCTTGCAACAGGAAGTCTGCTGCAAACTGGATAATGTATTACACATATATGAGACCTTAAAACCAGTCTCCATAGTGACACACTTCTTACAACAAGACCACACCTACTCCAACAAGGTCACATCTCCTAATAGTGCCATTCTCTATGAGATCCTGGGGGCCAGTTACATTAAAGTCACCACATTCCTGGGCCCCATAAGTTTGTAACAGTTTCATAATGCAAAATGCATTTTTACTTCAACTTCTTAAGTCTCCACAGTCTATCAAACTCTCTTCTGAGACTCTTGCAATCTCTTTAACTATAATCCCCTGTAAAATCAGAATCTAAAGGCACATCCAACATATAGTGACATAGGATATGCAATACTGTTCCAAAGCATAGAGTATAATGAGGAAATGTTGGACCAGTGCAAGTCGGAAAAACAGCTGGATAAACTCCAAACTCTGCATCTCCTTGTCTGAAGTCAAAACGCTTTTCAGATCTCCAACGCCTGTTGACCTTGTTGACTGCAACACACTTCTTTCTCTTAGGATGGTTCCATTCCCTGTTAGCAGCTCTGCTTGGCAGGAAACCCACAGCTCTGGCATCTCCAACATCTTGGGGTCTCCAAGGCACTCCAGGCTTCAACTTCACAGCTTCATGCAACGGCCTCTCTAGGCCTTCCATTCAGGGACACCCCTGGCACATGGCTGGCCTCAGAGGCTTTCCTTGGGCACGGAGGCAAATTCTATAACCCTTTTCTTTTATTCTTGACTCCAAAGCCAGAACCTGTTCCTGCCTGCTGTGGCTGGAA